GTTGTACATTCTGTGGGTTTGGACAAATATATAATGATATGTATCCATCATTATAGTGTTAATGCAGATTATTTTCAGTGCCCCAAAATCCTATGTGCTATTCATTCCCCTACACCCATCCGAAATCGTGACAACCGTTGGTCTTTTTACTGTCTCCGTAGTTTTGCCTTTTCCAGAATGTCATATAATTGGAATCATACAATATCTAGCCTTTTCAGTTTGACTTCTTTCACTTAGCAGTATGCATTTAATGTTCCTGCATAGCTCATTTCTTTTTAGCGCTGAATAATATTTCATTGTCTGGATGTACTGCAGTTTATTTATCCATTTACCTACTGAAGGACATCTTGGTTGCTTCCAAATTTTGGTAATTATGAATAAAGCTGTTATAAACATCCATGTGTAGGTTTTGGTGTGAAGATAATTTTCAGCTTTTTTGGGTAAATACCAAGGAATACAGTTGCTGGATCATGTGGTGAGAGTATGTTTAGTTTTGTAAGAAACCACCAAACTGCCCTGCAAAGTGTCTGTACCATTTTGCATTGCCACCAGCAATGAGTGAGAGTTCCTTTTGCTCTACGTCCTCTTCAGCATTTGTTGTTGTCAGTGCTCTGGGTTTTGGCCATTCTAATAGATATGTAGTGTATGCTTCATTTTTTCAAGAACTACCAAGCTGTTTTACACAGCAGCTGAACAGCTTTGTATTCCCACCAGCAATATACAAGGGCTCCTATTTCTCTACATCCTCAGCAGCACTCGTTTCCTGTTTTTGTTGGTTTGTTTTTAATTAAAGCCATCCTAGTGAGTGCAGAGTAGTATCTCATTCTGGTTTTGTTTTGCGTATCCCTATTGACCATAATGTTGAGCATCTTCATGTGCTTATTGGCCATTCGCATGTCTCTTTTGGAGAAGTGTCTGTTCATGTCTGTTGCCCAATTTTAAATTGGGTTGTTGTCTTTTTGTTGTTGATCTGTAAGAGTTCTTTATATATTCTGGATACTAGCCCATTATCAGATATACGGTTTGCAGATATTTTCTCCCATTGTGTAGGTGGTGGTTTCACATTCTTGATAATGTCCTTTGATTCACAGAAGTGTTTAATATTGAGGAAGTCCAATTTATCTATTTTTTCTTTTGTTGCTCATGCTTTTGGTGTCAACTCTATAAGAATCTATTGCCAAATCCAAGGTCATGAAGATTTATCCTGTGGTTTCTTCTAAGAGTTTTATAGTTTAAGTTCTTATATTTAGGTTGTTGATCCATTTTGAGTTAATTTTTGTATATGGAATGAGGTAGGGGTCCAGCTTCATTTGTTTGCATGTGGCTGTCTAGTTGTCCCAGCCACCATTTGTTCATTCTTTCCTATTGAGTGTTCTTGGCACCCTGGTTGAAAATCAGGTGGTCACAGATGTAAAGGTTTATTTGTAGACTCTTAGTTCTATTCTGTTGATTGATATGTCTGTGCTTCTGCCAGTACCCACACTGTTTTGATTACTATAGCTTTGTAATAAGTTCTGAAATTGGGAAATGTGAGTCCTCCTTTGTTTTTGTTTTTCACTATTGTTTTCACTATTCAGGGCCTCTTGTAACTCCATAAAGTTTTGAGGATTGGCTTTTCTCTTTCTACAGAACAGGCCATTGAATTCTGATAGGGATTTCATTGCATCTGTAAATAGCGTTGGGAGTATTGCCATCTTAACAATATTAAGTTTATCAGTCTGTGGGCATGAGATGTCTTTCCATTTATTTATGTCATCTTTATTTCTTTCTGCAATGTTTTGTAGTTTCAATGTACTAGTCTTTCACATCCTTGGTTAATTCCTATATATTCCTATATATTTCTATATATTTTATTCTTTTGGATGCTATTATAAGTGGAATTGTTTTCTTAATTTTCTTTTTGGATTGTTCACTGCTGGTGTATAGAAGCACAACTTTTTTTTTTCTGTTGATCTCGTGTTCTGCAACTTTGCTGAATTCATTTATTAGCTCTAGTAGTTTTTTGGTGGATTCTGTGGGATTTTCTATATGTAGAATGATGTCATTTCAAATAGATAATTTTTCTTCTTTTCCAATTTGTATGCCTTTTATTTCTTTTTCTTGCCTAACTTTTCTGGCTAGGACTTCCAGTGTAATGTTGAATAGCAGTGGTGAAAGTGGGCATCCTTGTCTTATTCCTGATCTTAGAGGAAAATCCTTTTTTTGGTATGTATTTTGGTTATTTTCTTAGTGGTTATCATGGGGATTATAGTTAGTATCCTAAGTTTACAGCAATCTAATTTGAATTGATGCCAACTTGGCTGCAAGAACATACATTAAACTAGACTTATTGTGCTGATCATTTTACAATATATACAAATATCGAATCATTATGTTGTAGACCTGAAACTAATATAATGTGATATGTCAGTTATAAAGAACATACATTAACTCTGTTCCTATCCAACTCCATTTCCTCTCTTTATGTTGTTATTGTCACAAATTACATCTTTATACATTGTGTGCTTGTTACTATATATTTATAATTATTACTTTATGCACTTGTCTTTTACATAATATAGGAAACAAAAAGAGAAGTTAAATACCAAAAATGCAATATACTAGCTTTTATATTTACCTATGTAACCTTTGTAAGATCTTTGTTTTCCATTTGACTTTGAGTTACCATCCAGTGTTCTTTCATTTCAGCCTGAAGGATTCCCTTTAGCATTTCTTGTAGGGCAGGTCTACTTGTGATGAACTCCCTTAGCTTTTGTTGAGGAATGTCTTAATTTCTCCTTCATTTTGGAATTCTTGGTTGATAGTTTTTACTTTCAGCACTTTATCATTCCACTGCCTTCTGGCCTCTGTGGTTTCTGATGAGATATTGGCTGTTAATCTCATTGAGAGTCCCTCATATGTGATAAGTCACTTCCTTTCTGCTGCTTGGAGAGTCTCTCTTTGTTTTTCACCAGTTTGAATATAATGTATCTTGGCGTGGATCTCTGAATTTATCCTCTTGAAATTTGTTGAGCTCTTAGATATGTAGATTCATGTCTTTCATCAATTTGGAAAGTTTTTGACCGCTATTCTTCAAATATTTTTTCTGCCTCTTGCTCTCCCCCTTTTCCTCCTGGGACTCCCATAATGTGTTCACTTGTTGGTGTACCATGGGCCCCTTAGCTTCTGTTCATCTTTTTTTTTTTTACTCCTTAGCATGGATAATTTCAATTGTCCTATCTTTAAGTTCATTGATTCTTTTCTCTTACCTAGTCAAATCTGATGTTGAACCCCTCTAGTGAATTTTTAATTCTAGCTATTATACTTTTTTGCCTAGAATTTCTTTTTGGTTCCTTTTTATAATTTCTCTCTTTTTATTGCTATTCATTACTTGTTCATATGTTATTTTCCTGATTTCCTTTAGTTATATTATGGTTTCCTTCAGCTCTTTGAGCATGTTTAAGACAGTTAAAGTCTTTGTCTAGTATGTCTAGTATCTGGGCTTGCTCAGGGATGGTTTCTCTCAGTTGCTTTTTTTCCTGTCAGTGGGCTATGCTTTCCTTTGTCTTTGTATGCTCTGTAATTTTTTGTTAAGAACTGGTCATTTTGAGTATTGTAACGTGGTAACTTTGGAAATCAGAATTCTCTCCCTCTGTGGAGATTACTGTTGTTGCTTGGTGAAAGCTGCAGTCATCCATTTGTTGAGTGACTTTTCCAAACAATATATTCCTTGTTGTATGTGGTCACTGAAATCTCTTTTGTTATCTCTGTGATCAACAAGTGACTTGACAGAGATTTCCTTAAATGCTTGGATCAAATAAGAAAAGAAAAGAAAAAAGAATATTCTTTATCTTTCTCCCTCTCTCTCCACATACCTAGAATTATTTTTCTTTGAATGTTTAAGAGTAATTTGCAAATGTGATGCCCATTAACACCTAAATATTTCAGTGTGTACGTTTTAAAAACAAGAAATTCTCTTGCATAACCATAGTACAATGATCAAAATCAGAAACTTACACTGACACAACACTATTATCTAGGGGCCGGCCCGGTGGTGCAGCCGTTAAGTTCGCACGTTCAGCTTTGGTGGCCCGGGGTTCGCCGCTTCGGATCCCAGGTGCAGACATGGCACCGCTTGCCACACCATGCTGTGGTAGGTTTCCCACATATAAAGTAGAGGAAGATGGGCACAGATGTTAGCTCAGGGCCAGTCTTCCCCAGCAAAAAGGAGGATTAGCAGCAGTTAGCTCAGGGCTAATCTTCCTAAAAAAAAAAACCCAAAAACAAAAAAACCCACTATTATCTAATCTGTGGGTATCTAATCTATCAGATCTTGGCAATTGTCCTAATATTGTCCTTTACAATAGAAGAATATCCAAGATGATGTGTTGATTCTGTTGTCCTATTTCTTTTGTCTCCATTAATCTAGAACAGTTCCTGAGTCTTTCTTTGTATTTTTATGATATTGACAATTTGATGAGTATAGGCCAGTTATTTTGTAGATTATCCCTCAATTTGAGTTTGTTGTTTGCTTATGATTAGATTCAGGTTATGCACTTTGTGTAGTAATACGTAAGAGGTGATGCTGAGTTCTTTTCTGTATATCATATTAGGATGCACATGCTATCGATTGGTCCCATTACTGGCAGTGTTAACTTTGACCATTTAGTTAAGATAGTATATGCCAATTTTCTCCATTGTAAATTTATTATTTTGCCTTTCATAATTAATAAGTATCTTGTGGGGAGATACTTGGAGACTATGTAAATATCCTATTACTTTTCAAACTTTCACCCACCCATTTTAGCATTTATTGATGATTCTTGCCCTAATCAGTTATCTTTATGATGGTTGCAAACTGATGATTTCCTAATTATGCCTTTCCTTTGACATTTATTAGTTTACTTTCTACTGTAAGAAAGAGCTTTCCCTTCTTATTTATATTTATCAGTGTAGCCTCATAGATTCTTACTGTATTCAATAGGTTATAATCTTTTACTATCACTATGTATTTTGATCAGATTGTTCCAGATTTGGCCAGAGGAACCCCTTCAAGCTGGCTCCACACAGAAGCCTTTTAAAATTAAGGTCTTGCTGATGCCTATTGTTCCGAGGTAACTATTAATAGCACACTCCTTCACTCACCAAAGTGTTCCTGTCTGAATGATAAATTATATGATCACTTTATTTAAAATGTAGATCAGATCATGTTACTTTTCGTGTCTGCTATTCTCCTGGCTTGCTCTGCTGTGGCAACATCTGGCCTTCTTACAGTTCCTCAGATGCTCTGCACACTCCCACCTCAAGGCCTTTGCGTTTGCTGTTGCTCTTCCTAAAATAGTCTTCTCCATCCCTCACTTGCTTTAGGTTGCTGCTCAAATGTCACTTTCTCACAGAGGCCTCCTCTCACCACCTTCACATAAAGTAGCAAGTACCTCTTTTCCTCACCAGCACTCGGCTTTCTCTGCTCTGCTTTCTCTTGTCCCAATATCTGATATGTTAGTCGCTTACTTGCCTCTTTCGCCAACTAGAATCAGTGCTCCATGGATGCAGGACTTTGTTTTGTTCTCGCTGTCTCCCTAGTGCCTTAGAACAGTGCCTAACAAATAGTTTGTGCTGATTGTTGAGTGAACGAACTGAGCTCACTCTCACTGTATTTTGTTTCAAAGGCAAGTAGTATAGTAGTTTCTGAGGCAACTATGTCTCTTGAACAGAACTGGTTTTTGTTGTTTCTTTTTTTCCCGTGCTTCTTTTTCAGTACTCTTTTCCTTCACTTTTCCCCTTCAGCTATCACCTAGCCGTCTTCCACATCTTCATCTCTTTTTTTGTCTTAGAGTTGGTCAGTTTTTACTGACTGTTCCTCTGCTTTCCCTTTAGTTCTGAGTCTCTTGTGATGGACAGTGTATTCCTCCCTTTGCCACAAAGTTTAAAAGTTTGCTACTTTTAAAAGATGGTGCTGCCGTAGGGCAACCTAGTGGTGTAGTGGTTAAGTTTGCACACTTCACTTCAGCAGCCCAGGGTTCACGAGTTTGGATCTGGGGCACAGACCTACACACTACTCATCAAGCCACACTGTGATGGCATCCCACATACAAAATAGAGGAAGATTGGCACAGATGTTAGCTCAGCAACAATCTTCCTCAAGCTAAAAGAGAAAGGTTGGCAACAGCTGTTAGCTCAGGGCCAATCTTCCTCACCAAAAAAAGAAAAAGAAAAAAGATGGCACTGCTGTAAAAATATCAAGAAATATGTAGGAATGTTTAACTTCAAATTGAGGATACTGTTGCCTCTGAGAGTTGGAGGGAGATATAACTGGGGAAGGATAAAGGATAAAGGGGGATTCACCTGTTCGTGCTCTATTTCTTAAGCTCAGTGGAGTGTACACAGGTATTTTTTACACATTTTTACAAAACTCTTTAGATGACTGAAATACTGCATAATAATAAGTTGTCCTGTGATTCATTGTCTTTTTACTGAAGGTTTGTAGATTTTTCTTTGCTTGCTTACAGTTTTCTTGCCCTCTTATAATTCTTAGGGAAGATGACCTACAGTCCAGCAATGTTTCCCTGCCTTCCTTTTCCTTCTTTGTTACCTTCTCTTTCCGTTTTCCACCTCTTCCTAGCCTGCCCTCATTCTGTGCTTTTTTTTTTGAGGAAGATTAGCCCTGAGCTGACATCTGCTACCAATCCTCCTCTTTTTGCTGAGGAAAACTGGCCCTGAGCTAACATCCATGCCCATCTTCCACTACCTTATATGTGGGATGCCTGCCACAGCATGGCTTGCCAAGTGGCGCCATAGCTGCACCCAGGATCCGAACCAGCGAACCCTGGGCCACCGAGGCAGAACGTGCGAACTTAACCGCTGCACCACTGGGCTGGCCCCCATGCCCTCATTCTTTATCTGCCTTGTTCGTAGTACCTTCCATTTGTAGGGATAGTTGACTCTCACTATGTGTCATCGGGCTAGAATCTGGGAGAAAAATTAATTTGGGACTTTGGATACACATTTGGGACTTTGGATACACAAGTTGGTGTTCTGATTTTCCTTTTACCACTGGTTCATGTTTTGAATGCACAAGTCCTGGTTGATTCACTCAGTCACTAAGCAGATTTTTATTCATTCATTCAACAAATATTTGAGTGCCAACTACATGCTAGGTTTTCTACAGCTTGATTCTGTAGCTTTGAGTCTTTTCCATATGCTCCCATATGCAGGCACTATGTCTAGTGCTATAGTGATTAAAAGATAAATCACAGAGGTTCTTGTCCTCATCTTCTCTACCAAACTGTAAGCAAGTAAAGACTGGTATGTATATAAAAAGGTATGATGCAGACTAGAAAATGATATGCCCAGAACACTTACAGATAAAGTGCCGTCGGAGTTCAGAACATGGAAAGACTACTTCTACCTCCTGAGGGTGGTCTCTGAAAGAAGAGCAGGATTTGGCCATGTGAAGAATGAGAGAGAAGATATTCCAGGCAGAGGGATTGTGGGAATAATGGAATTGCTGGATTATGGAGTTTGTGCATCTTCATACAAGATAATGCTAACTTGTTTTTCCTGATTACCTTGGAGTTCAAGTGTTTTGGTTCTTCTTCATTCTAGCCAATACTTTCTTTAGTCATTGTTTTGATTTTTGTCAATCTAGTGGATGTGGGTTTTATTGTGGTTTTAATTTGCATTTTCCTGATTTCTTATGAGACTGAGCACCTTTTCATGTGTTTATTAACCATTCATGTTTTTGTAAATATTCAAGTTTTTTTGTGTGGGGGGGTCTTTTTCGTATTAACTTATAGGAATTTTAAATATATTTTGGATACTCATCTTTTGTGAGTTATGTGTGTAGTCCATATCTTCTCCCAGTGTATGACTTGTCGTATCACTTTATGTGTCTTTGGCTACATGAGTTTGGCTACATGTCTTTGGTTCCAAAGTTCTTAATTTAGTGTATTATAAATTATCAATCTTTTCCTTTATAGGTATGATTTTTGTGTCTTGTCTAAGAAATTCTTCCTTCTCTAATGCCATAGAGTAATTCTCCTATGCTGTCTCCTATATTGTCTTCTAAAGGTTTTACGTTTTTGTTTTTCATACTTAAGTCTTTAGTCCACTTAGAATTGACTTTTTTTAAAAAGATTTTTTATTTTTTCCTTTTTCTCCCCAAAGCCCCCAGTACATAGTTGTATATTCTTCGTTGTGGGTCCTTCTAGTTGTGGCATGTGGGATGCTGCCTCAGCGTGGTTTGATGAGCAGTGCCATGTCCGTGCCCAGGATTTGAACCAACGAAACACTGGGCCGCCTGCAGCGGAGCGCGCGAACTTAACGACTCAGACAGTGGGCCAGCCCTAGAATTGACTTTTTTAAAAATTGATTTTTGTATTGGGTGTTGGTAAGGATCCAATTCCATTTTTTTTCCTATAGATATCCAAATTTCCCAACACTACTTATTGAAAAGTTCATCCTTTCTTCCCTGGTTAGCAATACCAGCTCTGTGATAAATCAAATTTCTGTAAGTGTGAGGTTGGTTTATGGGTTCTATATTCTGTTATATAGGTTAATTTGTCTGTCCAAGTCAATATCATGCTGTCCTAATTACTAAAGCTTGAAGTAATTCTTGGTATCTGGCAGAGTAAATCTCTTGTTCTTCTTCAGGAGTACCTTGACTGTTCTTGGCTTTGCTCATTGATAGGAATTTTAGAATCAGCTTGTCAAGTTCAATCTGTTGGGATAGTGATTGGAATTGAATCTGTAGATCAATTTGGGAAAAAGTGACATCTTTATGATATTCAGTCTTTCGATCCTTGAACCATGATGTAACTTTCTAGTTAGGTCTTAGCTGAATATTTCTTGAATTTGACCCTCTGTATCTGTACTTTCATTGCTGATTCAGATTTTTGTTATTTCATACATGGACTGTTGCGTTAGCTTTGAACTGATCTCCCTATTTTTAGTCTCCTTTTTCCAAGAGGCAGCCTAGCATAAGTGAGCTCTGGAACCAGATTTAGGAGCTTGAATACTGGCGCCATCAGAACTGGGCACATTGCTTAACCTCTCTTTCATTAATTTAAAAGAGATAATAATAATAGTAGTCACCTCATAAGGTGGTTATGAATATTAAATGAGTTAATATATGTAAAATGATTAGGAGAGTGTCAGGCAAACAGTAAGTGCTCAATAAATGCTAGCTATTATTGCTGTGATTTAAATTCTAGCAGTCTAACTCCAGAGCCTTCCCTGTTAATTCCTGTGCTCTACTGAAGAGAAGATGAACTCAAGATGTATTTTGTAGTTAAAAATTCATAGGGCTTGTTAGTTGACATGAGGATAAGAGAAAAGTATCAATCTCAGATGCCTCCCAGGGTTGTAATTTGAGCATTTTGCTGGCTTGTGTCACCATCCAATAGAAGAGTAGAAGACATGAGGGGAGGTAGGCTGGGCAGGTGTGGAGGAAGATCAAGAGTTCTCTTTCGGTTCTGGTCCATTTGATATCCCTGAGAGACATCAAAGAGGCAGTGTTAGGTGGGTATTTAAATGTGCAAATCTGGAGTTCAAAATAGAACTCTGGACCTAGTAGATATGTTTGAGCATCATCAGAATAAGGTGATATTTAAATGTATGGGAATTAATGAGAGCATCTGGGAATGTAGAAAGAGAAGAGCCAAAAGTCCTGAGGTTTTATAGAGGAAGAGGAGTTGCCACAAGGGAGTTGAGGAGATGCTCCTGGTAAGGTAGGAAGAAAATCAGGAAAGGGGTATTCAGGAGGCCAGAGAGGAGCGTGCTTAGCAAATGTAGAGTTTACAGCTGTGTTGAATGCTGCTGAGAGTCTAAGTAAGATGAGGCCTGAGAAGTCACATGACTTGAGTTTGGCTACATGGAAGTCATTGGTGACCATGACAAGCATTTTCCATGGAGTGTTGGAGTGAAAGCTTGGTTGCCATGGTTTGAGGAATGAATCAGAGAGAGATGAGGAGGTGGAAACTCTGTATATGTAGAGACTTTTAGTTATGAAAGTTACAGAGGAGTGTAACAGTAGTTGAAGGGGGATGTGGGAAGAGGGAGATGGATGGCATGTGCATTGGGACAATCAAGGGAATAAAGTTCTTGGGAATTGAGA